ATGCCAAAATGGCGACAGTTAATTATGGCTAGAAGAAAGATGAAGAAAGCTCAAGAAGAGAAGAAAAATCAGTAAGTTATTCTGATGAGACAATAATCCAATTTCGCATATTTTATTTTGCTATTAGTCGTACGATTCACTTTATTAACCCTAAATTAATTAACATATGAAAGTGAACATTGGTTGAATACTCCTACTAATGTCTTACTGGTCTACGATTCAATAAATTAAGATTTTTAAGAAATACTCTGATTAATAAGATCCTGAGTAAAAATTATTCTTTAATGATGGATCTGTTTCGTTTAACATTACTAACTTTAAATTTATATCTGCTTATCAATATTGAAGTTAGGAATGCTTATGCTGTTGCAATTGCAGATTTGTCTTATTACCCTATTATTGCGATATATTGTATACCATCAAGCTATTCTAATTTTATTATTCTCAGAAATATGTATCAGTTTTACGCATTTTCTGTAATGTGGAAACGTATAATCGCTGTACGATAGAATATCAAAAATTTGTTTATAATATCATCTGTTGGTTTGATATATTGCTACATGCTTGGCATGTTCTAGTTTATGAATTTCTCTTAAAATATTCTCCTCATTAGAACCCTATTAATATTTAAACTAGCATATTTTAAAGACATTCATTACTGAACATAGTTAATATTACGTTTAAGTAAAACAATTTGATTTTATTCTATACCATTATATCCACTTTTAGGCAAGACGCAAATGGCGATAGTTAAAAGAATGGTATTTTTCAAATAGCAAATTATTTAATATTTCGATGGCGTCGAAATGGAGACTTTTGCAAGATTTACCCATCGCTACATAATTTTTAGCAATGTAAACGGTTTTTATCATGTAAAATGGCTAGATAATCATTGGAAATGCAGCATCAAGTTAATTTAACAATTACCGAGTTAAAATTCTTGATCAAGGTGCAATACAAAAGGAAATATATATATATATACATTCAGCTAAGCTATATCAATTGCCACTTCAGTTATATTTTCAAGATACTGAAGTTGAATTGATTTTTGTACATAACAATGAGCGATATTCCAATGAATACAAACTATACGTGGTGTTACGTCATTTTTTTAATCCTTTAACAGAAGATACTATTTCTACAGGTATTTAGTCAATTTTACTATTAAGAGTGTATTAATGAATTAAAATGACCCTAATGGCTAGCTTTACTGGCTATTTTAACGGCGTAATAAACTTATCTTGCTATTAACCCGTATGTCTTGAATACTCAATTAAATGATTACAACATTAAAAGGGATTATAAATTGTTAAGTAGATGACGGCTGTTTATAATAATCATACCGGTACATTTCAAATATCGTTAAGCATTATCATAACTTGGAATGCATCGCCATGAAATATTAATAGAAGAAGCATATTCGTAATAATTTACAGAAGTTGCATGGCATTATATTGGAATTAAGTCGTACCATGCAGTTCTCGTTTATTGGAATGAATGCTTGCTTGCACTGAATCAGATTTTACTTTTTAATCGTACTAGTTGACTTCTTCATTGATTTTTTCTTTTTATCTACCGGCTTAGTAGGTGATGGTGGAGCTTCTGTTGTCTTAGGTTGAGCTTCACGTTTGCTAATCTGCATTGACAAAAGTTAAACGATGAGAAAGTTAAATCTCAACTATTAGTTATGGAAATGATAAATATTGAGCTGAATGTGAAGATTAATAACTGTAAAAACTGATTTAGTACTTGTGAGCAACCGTATCACAGCTAGAAAATAGTCATATGACTAGTTATTCTTATAAAGAACATTTTAGCTTATATAAAATTTGAAAAAATACTAACTAATTGTTTGAACTATGAAATTAGTAGTTAGTAATTGATAAATGTTAAAGGGAGCAGATAAGTTAAATGTACATCATTGAAGTAAACGGATTATGTTATTTACCCCTTTCATAATTTTTGCCTTCAGTTCATTTTGTGTTAGAGGGCGTGAATCGTCGTCACTTTCTGTAGAAGCTTCACTTTCGTAGTCATCTCTACAACAAATTTTCAAAGAAATAAACACAAAGAATAAATAAACTTTCAAGTCAAAGCAAACATAATAACCGTTTTTCTAATGCCATCGGACGTAAATCAAATAGCAAGTAAAAATTTTAATTCGATACAACTTGGTTCGTATGAGTAACGTAGATGTAGTGGTTAAGACTATAGTTAAGAATTTCTATTATTTCTGAAACGAAATCTATTTCAACTATGAATCAGTTTACTTACCCAGTCGTGGGTGGAACAACGACTATATTTGCAGTAGGCTGTTGCGGTCCTTGTCCTAATAGTGTCGGTATTTGGGCACCATCAACTCGATCACTATCCTATATTAATGTAAAACAATCAAAGATACATTACATGACTCAGCATTGATGTCTGTTGAGTTATGATAACAAATCTTATATCCAGCGACTTTGGCACCATTTTAAGTTCATAAATTTGAAAATTTACCCTAACGCTGACGAAGGATTGCATTTGTAGTAGCTCATTTGTTCTTTGTTCCACAATACCTAAGTACTGTCATTACCAAAAAATGATATATTCAATTTAGGATGTTTACATTATTAGTTTAGAGATGTCATTGAATACATATCATGCATTATATATAGTACAAGTTTGAATTAAGGCAATACCTGCATCATGTTGGTTTCCGTAACACCGATGGTACCGCCTAGCATATCGCTAATGGCAGACTTATCACAATTAATCTTAGAGAATAGCGAAGTGATGCCTAGATATCGAAATAAATAGATAGATAATAAAATTTGCGATTAGAATACACGAAATTTTTTGAAAATTTCAACAAATACCGCATTTTTATTGAAATACAGAATAACAGTAACAGGAATTAGCAATCGGGAATTAAAAATAGTATGAAAAGCTGTAAAGTGTGACAGTTAGTAACCTGATTTTAGTTGTTCCAAGATCTTTTGAGTAGATCGATATTGCTTATCGAATTGATTCGCTTTTTCAGTCACCATATTAAGTTTTCCCTAGGATTAGATCATAAAACATAAAATGTTGGCCATGAATATGCAGTCTAAAGTAAATGTAATAATATTTCATTGTTGTATGATATTAAATGTAAAATGTATCACAAGACTTGAATAGCTGTGATAGTTTGTCGGTTGTTATTTGTATTTCATTAGCTAATTAAGACCTCTAATTCTTTTAAAATGGCTTTCCTTTGATTTTCCATTTCCATTCCTTGGCCTTTAAATTTTTCGATATCATCACGTACACCAGTAATTTGTTCTTGGAGGGTTTCTATTTCATTATTTAACTCGTTGACATAATTGAATAGAGCAAAGTTCTTGTCTTCCACTTCGATAAATCTAGAGACTAAAAGATCGATGTCCTACAATACGAGTAAGACATGTAGTAAAATTTCGTTAAGAGTTATGTTGGAGAATTTTTATTGATAGATAATAATTCCATCTTGCATTTTTATGTCACCTTACCTGAATGCTGGTGGCTTCTTTAATTCTTTCGAAGGCTTCTTCATAAGACTATTCAGAGTCAGGTAATAAAAATTAATTTTAAAATATAAAATAGGCTGTACGTGGGCGATAGCCTTAGGTTATACTTACTTCAACAGTTTCCTCTATGCCTTTTTCTTGCGGTTTATCGCTTTCAGATTTTTTCTTCTTTCTAGCTGATAGAATTTCTTCTTCTAGTCTTTCTTGTCCTTTAACGCCCATGAAATTTTTTAACTTTCGATCATGGTCAATAATTCTCATCAGTTCCTTCAATTCCAGATTGTATTGGGCGAGGTCTTTCTCATTTTTTTCTTTTAAAGCCATCATTTTTGATTGAGCTTCATCTCTGATAGTAGTCAATAAATTAATCAGTTGCTGTAAAATTGATACAATATTGTAATTGTCGAAGGTTAATGTTATACCTAGCATCATAAGCTTGAGTGGATTCTTCAATTACACCGCCAATCTTTCTCTTATAATCAATGAGTTGTTTTTCTAGTTTTTTGTAGATATTTTCAAATATAATCCTCTCAGAGCGCAAATGATCGATTGCTTCACGTAATTTAGCATTATCCGCTAAAGTTGAATTGAATTTAACTAGAGCTTTATCTAAACGATTCTGTAAGACTCTAGTTTGCTTTTGAGTTTTCATTGTATGTTCTTGGAATATATGAGCCCTATCGTATCATTGCGATATCATGAGACAAATTTAGATATAATTGCGATTATAATATTAAATAATAGTTATATCATTTATCTTATAACTAAAGATTTATATTTCTTTGTTACTTACCCTCCCATTTTTTTTCTTTGCTCGTTGATTTGCTTCTCTACTGCTTTAACCTGTTTATAGTTTGTTATTACATGTAGAATAACAGTTAGAAAGCGCTTTATATAACTACTTAGTGATGAACGTTACTACGGTCTGATAGGTTGAGATAAACTAAGATAGTACATACCTCGCCCGTGAGTTGATTGAGAAGATCTTTTTCTTCTTTTATCATCTCTTGGAATTCATCTAAACGAAAATGGAGACACAAAATATTTTATATGTATCGAGGAGAATTTTTATGTCTTCTATTAGTAATGATTAATTTTGATATTCTACAAGTATGCAGTACCTTCTTTGCTTAATTCCTGACGGATTCTGTCGATATAATCATTATCCTATCACAGAAAGAGCATCGGTAGTATTGATTAAGTTGCTACTGATGTAAAAAATATATTGGAATGAACCTAATAATGATTATCACTAGTATTAAAATACTTACAACAGCTTCTTTTTGTTTGCCAGCAGCGATCTTGAAATCCTTCATTAGCATCTCATTTTCCTTTTGAAGAGCTAGGATAGAAGCTCTGCAGACGTATATATAACAAAATATTGCCTTAGTTTGGATCACTTCTAATGAATTGGATGAATAATATAGTGGATAGCAAATTCCACAACAGAGAATGAAGGAAATATTAAGTTACCTCTGTTTTCGAATCAAATTTTGTGATTCTTCACTGTAGGCTTTACGATCTCCTTCCATGATCCTATATTGGCGTTGTAACTTGGCCAATTCTTGTTCAACTGCTCAATGTAAATAATCTATAAGTACCTGTGCATATCCTTCACGTAATCTAATACTTTTAATTTTGACATTCCAAAAGCGTATAATATTCTTAACTACTAATATTAGGCAAGGAAAGAGGAGGTTGATCGTCCAACAACAATTATTTTTACAATCTATTTTAACTTGTATTTGAGCTACACATACCAATAAACTATTTTATCATTTATCATATCTACATGGTAATAAACGTTAAACCAAAAAGTAGGGGGGGGGCGGGAAAGCTATACACGACCGATAACTATCATCCTAATTTTTATTCTACACCATACACGTATATGTGACAGCTAATGCTTATAATTGAATTGATGTTTAAATTATATGTGAAATATTATTATTATCTCGTACCCAAGCCATCAACTTCAGATTCGCTGACTTCCGATCGTCGACTTTGTACACGCTGCATGGTGATGAAAGTTTTAAAATGTAATTGGTAAGACGAGAACGAATGTTAACACCAAGTGAAGTCGTTTCGGGCAATAAATTACTCTGGATAAATTACACGTATGATCGCAATAGAAAGTATCGAATATCCTTTTTAGGTTTTTTTAGTCTTGTTTAGTAGAGTAATAATGATTGAGTATGGTAGTTGGATCATGTATCTTGAATGTCTGGCTCCTTAGCAACATAAACAGTAGGCTCCATGACAACGATACAGTAGGTGTATGCGCCGGCGCACTTGTGATCCACCCCATCACGAAAGGCATTTACCGATCTAGTTACTGTACAGTATAGTACAGTACAGTACGTAGTCGAACACTCGCCTGATACTTGGCGTGCTGTCTGCTGTACTGTACAGTACAGTACTGTACTGTAGTTGTACAGTACTGAACACTGTGCAGTACCGTACTTA